TGTAAAAAATAAAATAAATTTTAAAATAATTGTCCATATCCTAAGGTCATAAAGATCTATTTATTTCTTCTAAAAATGCTAAGGTTTTGCTCTTTACACTAGTCATTAATCCATCTAGGAAATTAACATGTGATGAGTCTTTACTTAAAATAATACAGTTCACATTTGCTTAATGCCCATTAAAGCTGTGCTGTCAAAAACTTAGTAAACATTGCCTTCAGTGAACTAATTACTGTAGTGGGAGGAAAAAATCAAGCACAAAAGATGTCTTGCATTTATCATTTAAGATTGGCCTCTCTGGAGTCATAGGGGTTAAGTGTCCGCGCTGCCACCACAGTGGCAGTGGTGTGGTGGCCTGAGTTCTGTTTCTGGCCAGGGAGCTGACCCACATGGCACAGCAGACTCTCCAGTTTCAACGCCTGCTGCTCCCTCTGCAGTGTACTTCAGCAGATCCACTGTTCTGCTCTCCACTCTGTCTCTGGTGAACCCTCTCACCCCCTGCACCTCTGTCCTACACCCCAGTTCTTCTGTGCAAAATAAATAATCTTAAAAAAATAAAAATCTAAGATTTTATTTAAAATTTTTTTGTGGGGAGGGGTGTTCATAGCCTTGGCTCCAGTTATGGGTGATCTCTGCTATTTTGTTAATGTTTAATGTTAATGTTTAAATTACAGACTCCTGATTTCTAATTGAACTGGTTTGAATATCTGTGTGTGGTTACATAATAAGCAAAACTCAAAAACAAGAAGCTGACTAGCATAATAGAAATGAAAAATACCTGTGTTATCTGTTTTAATGTTAGAAGCTTTGATATATGGAACTATGAGATAAATAGTTGTTTAAAATGTATTGAAAAATTCTGGAAGCTGGTGATGACTTCTTGGTCCTAGCTTGCAGTGCTGTAACCTTTCTGCTTATTTCATGAGAGCCTTGTTTGTCTATCAGTATTATACCATCTGCTACACCTTCATATCGCTTTCCACTGTTTGTGGTGTCCTAGGAAAGACATCCAAACTAGCCTTTCTATGTGGGTAATTTATACGTATAGGTAGACATTTATGTAAAGAGGCAATAGATTGGCTTTTACTACCAGAGGGCAGTTAATACACTTGGTGTATTAACATTAATTTGAAGGTGACAGCTGTATTAAAATATTGTAACTTGCAAAGATGAAGTGTGTCCTTTTGGAAATACTAGTACTTTTTCAAGTATTGGTTTTTTTATGATTCATAAGTACTTGCCACAAAAATTCAAAACAGACATTTTAATGAGAATAGTTAAGTGAAATACAAAAATTGTATTTTTAATAGGGAAATAGCTTTATCTTGTAAAAAAAATCTTTTTTTCAGAGAAAGAATTTACTTTCCCATGAGCAGCTGCTTTTTGCTAAATAGAATTCTGAGTTTCTCAGAAACACGTCGCTGGTGTAAAAGGAAATAGTAAATACTGCTGGGCTTGCCCTCTTGTTGTCAGCTTCATAGAACTGAGTAATAGATGCCACCTAGTTTGTAGTTTTTGTTGGTGTTTGGTTTTAGGTGGTCATTGAAGCCATGTAAAGACAGTTACCATTTAAAATTTTCTTGTAGTATTAGTGCAGGACAGTCGCGGGGAGGGATTATGATGTATTGGTGATTTCATGCGAATAGTGTCAGCTGTGCTGGGAGCAGTGCAATGAAGTAATACAAGTAGAGAAAACCTGTGTGTCTATGCACTTTTACAAAACCCTTTTGGGAGAAGGAAGAAGTCAAACTGTCACAGCACGGCTGTCCTCTATCACCTAGAAACCTTGAGAGTAACTACAGGCAGGGCTTACCCATCTAACCACATGGTGTAAAGCAAAGAGGTAACTTTTGTAGTGTGAATAGAAAATACAGATATTAATCATCTGATACTATGATTGTGCATAGTGAAATACACTACTACATTTTTGTTTTTAATCTTTTCAGTGTTTTGTGTTTTTAATTTTAGTGTTTACCTGTTTTATGCTTTTTAAAAGGAATGTTGTGCTTACCAAATAGCTTATGTATGTTTTAGTGTGTTTCTTGGGACTCCAGTGTTTACTATTATTAGCAATACAATATGAGTAAGTTTATTTAGATCTGTTTTAAGCATTCATAATCTTTGGCTTTTTATAGAGGCAAATGTGATAGATCATTCAATATTCAGTAGTCTCTTTTATCTCTTGCCATTTGGAGGGGCCATTAACATTCCCACTGAATTTGACTACCACTCTGAATATGTCAAGGCTGTTCTTTTTTCTATCCACTTAATATAATCAATTATTTTTATCTTAATATGGACTACTCTGTGTGATGATGGAACTCTGACTTATTTTTCACTACACTTTACATTTGAAAATGGAATTGGTATAGTATATACTAGAGCATAACAGTGATACAGGCATAATACACCTTGCTTAATTTTATTAGGATGGGTGATCTTGGCTGTCATTCACAGTTATTAGCAAGTCTCAGTGTCTGGAAATGAAGTTATTAAAGTAAATAATCTCCAACAATTCTTATTTTTGTGTGAATGTATAATGGTAACTGGCATCATGCGGAATATTTATAAATGTTCTAAGCAGCACATGTATTCATGTGTTTATACTTGAGTTTATTTTGAAATTTCTGTCCACTTCGGTGTGTGTGTTCTTGCTTTGAAAAGGTTGTTCCAGGCACAATGTACTAGTTTTAAAGCTATGAATTAAGCAAATTAGGATTTTAAAATTAATATTTTTACCAGTTGTTTTGAAGGCTCTCAAATATATTTTAAGTGATCTAAATATGGCTTAAGATCTCTTTAATTGCATTTATAAATTCAATTCTCACTTTAAAGCACTTATCTGACAGATCTTTCTAAGAATTTAGTTCTTTTAAACCTGGTATTTATGGGTTTTGTAAAATTTTAGATACATTTTTATTTTAAAGTTATAAGCCCAAATCAGTTATTCAGTGACATTTTAAATTGGGGTCACAAATTTAATTTTTTAGATGTTAATATGCAGGACTTTTTTTTTTTTAAGATTTATTTATTTGTGCATACAGAACTGGGGTACAGGCCAGAGGCTCAGGGGCGGTGAGAGGCTTCACCAGAGACAAAGCGGGGAACAGAACAGGCAGATCGACGAAGTACACTGCTGAGGGGAGCAGCGGGCGGGTCAGTAGAGGTCTGCCGCGCCATATGGTCACCTCCGGGACAGGCGGGGATCGAACTCATGCGGAAGCGGCTTTAGATTCTCAGTGCTGTGCTTTAACCCGCTGTGCCACCAGGGAGGGCCAATATGCAGGAATTTTTAATTCAAATATTTAAAAATACAATATATACCTTTTCTGTCATTTCACAAAACAATAGTATTAAGGTATAGGCTTGCTATATGCCCCTGTACTCTTTTCTGCTCCTTCCCAAATAACTTAAAAAAAAAAAGCACAAAACTTTTATCATGTGTTCTAGACTTACCTGCATCACCAAGACCTTTTCACTTTTACATTATCAAGCAATTTGAGCTTACCTTTCCAAGCACATTTTGGGGGTTCATTCTCAAGAGGCTTGAAATTGAATCTTGTGAGAACATGCAGACTCTAGAGCTATAGACAGCCAGGCTGATTTTTCTCATAAAACTGGACACAGCTTGTGCTTCTGCAATAAATGTCTCTTGAGGCCAGAACTTCTGGGTAGGGTGGTCTCCAAACTTGCTACCCCTGCACTCAGATCTGTATCACTGACTCTCAGTGTGATGGGTTTCTAATCCTCATGCCAGGATGTATCTGGCTTATTTCAGTTTGTCTGTTTATTGCTTGGTTCTGTTCTATATTCTTTTTGGCCAGGGTACAAATTTTAAGTGTTCAAGTGTTTTTTTTTTTAATGATTTATTTATTTATGCATACAGAACTGGGGTACAGTCCAGAGGTACAGGGGCAGTGAGAGGCTTCACCAGAGACAGAGTGGGGAGCAGAACAGGCAGAGCGAGGGAGTACACTGCTGAGGGGAGCAGTGGGCAGGTCAGGGGAGGTCTGTTGCGCCATGTGGTCACCTCCAGGATGGGGATTGAACTCTTGCTGAAGTGGCTTTAGCTTCTTAGGGCTGTGCTTTAACCTGCTGTGCCACCAGGGAGGGCCGTGTTCAAGTATTTTTAATAAAAGTTATTTGGTTTTTGGATGTTTGTCACGCCTGATCTGGTTTTGTAGTCGTAGTTTTAAGTTTATTCTCATGAAAACTTTAAAACTTCCAATATTCTGTAATCCAGAATATTTATGCAGAGCATATAAACAGGGATTATGTATATTTGGATTACAATATTGACATTCATGTATTATGTAATATGTATTATGTAATATGATACTTTAACTCTCCAGTAGTATTAGAAGCTTTTTGGCATGGACTGTGTACCAGTGCTGTCCAGTGGAATGTAATGTGAGCCAGATGTAATTTAAAATTTTCTAATAGCCACATTAAAAATAAGTGAAAAGAAGCAGGTGAAATTAATTTTAATAATTTAACCCAGTATAATCTAAATATAATTTCAACATACAGTCAATATGGAAGTTGAGACATATTTCTTTCTCTCTTATTAAGTTTTTTTTACTGTTGTGGTCCCCATAGCCACCGTATCACCAGTGAACTGGCATCATTTTCTTTTGTGTCTACCCCTCCTCTGTTTTGTCCCTCCCTCTTCCCTGCCCCCTCTTTTGCTGTTTGCTTCAGTTCTGTGGTCAGCTTGCTAGTTTTGACTTTTTCCTGACTTTTTTGGGCAAAATTGAAATATTTTTATACCCAGAGTTCTTTTGTTCTTAGGGCAATTTGATTGCAGACTAACCACATCTCAGTACTCACTAGCCACATGTAACTAGTAACTGCTGTATTGGCAGTGCAGTCTTACACTTCTATAAGTTACTGCTGGTGATGTAATTGTTGCTTTGTATGTGAATGTGTTTATTAGTTATAGATTTCTCTAATTGAATAAAATACATAGTATTTAAAAACACTTATTTTCTCTTTTGTAGGCTCTTCCTTCTTCCATGATTATAGTAGCAGTCTATTGTCCTGTAATAGCTGCTATTTTCATTGTTTTGAAGATGGTTAACTATCGACTCCACAGAGCTCTTGATGCTGGAGAAGTTGTAGATAGGAACGCAAATGACTTCGCAGATCATCGAGCCAAAGCTGAACAAGGCAACTGTTCAACTAGGAGAAAAGACAGCAATGGGCCCAGGTAAAAGAAATCCTGTCACTTGTTTTGTAACAATGTAGATGCATATATATATAATAATGAAATTATTGTGTTGCCTTGTTTATATGGCTTTAAACAGAGGTGGATTGTCCCACTGTAACGTTAGACCACAACAAAATTAAGTGGTCTACTTAGAGGGTTAAATCAATATCTTTAGCCTTATTACTAAAATAACCTTTAGAATAATAATAGTTATATAATTACACAGAAAACATTTTTCTATGGTATTACTTTGAATAACTATATTCACTTTGTGGCTATTCTATAATTCAGATATTTTTAGTTGTTCGAATTGTTTCAACTTAAGTAGTAGATCACTGGGATGTTAAAATTTTAAGTGAGTTTTTGTTATTATTTAGCAGAGGTAGAATTATTAGAAATCTATAGCCATTGTAAAGTTTTTCAATATACAGTACAGTGACAGATTTCAAAGATTTTATGTTTTATACTGTGATTAGTTGTTTGAGGACCTTTGTTTTGTACTTTAGACACCATTGAACATTTCATATTTAGAAAAAACTGTGGCAGATAACTTGTTTGAAATTTTCAGTCTTTTGACTACTAGTGAAGTACGGATATTTTTTTTCCATATTACTATAATTTTTGTCATTTTATGAATTGAATATTTTTTGGTTGATTTTTTTTTTTGGTTAGTATTTTGCTATTGATTAGGATAAGATTTATTTATGAAGAACCTTAACTGTATTTTTGTCACATACTTTTCCTTAGTTTATGGCATTTTATTTTATCATGTCACTATTTTCATGTAGCCTATTCTATGAATGTTTGTTATACTTTTGATATCAAGTTTTATGAGATTATTTTTTCTCCCAAATTATACAGATATTCACCTGTATTTACTTTTAGTATTTTATCGTGTTATTTTTTTGCTCTTCAGATTGTAGTCAGTCTGAAAATATTCTAAGTAGTATTTTAAGGCTTGTTAGTCCCAACACCATGAAGTGAATATTACATTTCCTCCCTACTACTACGTTCTCCACTCCCCACTAGTAATTTTAAATGATTTCTTTTTCATGTAGCATGTTCACAGATACTTATGTCAGTTTTGGGTGCTTTTTTACCTTCTGCTCCACTGATCTCCATTTCTTTTTTCTTTATAGCTTAACATTTTTATGGTTATCTAATATGTTTAATAGTAAACTCATTTCAATAATTTTCTTTCAATATTATTGTATTATTCTCATGAATATACTTAGCTTTTTTGTGAAATTTCTCTTTGTGTTTTCATCTTCTAGAAAATTCCATTATAATTTTGATGGTAATTAAATTGGAGAGAACACAACTTTTGAAATAGGGGGTCTCATCTAGAGACACGGTATTCATATTTATTCAGTTGACTTTTTTGTCTTGAAAATCTTAGTTTTTCAATGATTTCTGCATATTTCTTAAGTCTTTTATATTTCTTTTATAAAATTCTTCCTCTATGTAAATAGAATATAGATTTGTGCTTACCTGCCAAAGCTTGAATTTCCTGATTGTAGGACCCTGGAAGAATTACTTAAGTAATTTGTACCTTGGAATCTTAGTCTGAATGAGGAGGCAAATAATAGTACTTATTTGCTCTAGTAGGATTATTACAAAAATAAATGAGATAATATGTGTGAAGTGTTTAGAACAGATCACTCCTGATTTCTCATTATTATATATATTACATGTATATTTTTAATTATTCTATCACTGGATTACTTTTCCATTTTCTTTTAGCATATTTTTTTTTTATTGTGAAGGGTAGTACTTTCCCAAAAGATCATTTGTATTTATAATTTAGTAAATTGTAATCAAGCGAGTACTTACTTACTCTCTAATAGCATTATGAAATCTCTTTATGCACTCCCTTCCCATTTCGTCTTTTCCTTTTCTTTCAGGACTGGTCACTTGAATTTTGTGTTAATAATTCTCTTGCTTTTCTTTAGTATTACATAGTCATTATAACTGTTCCTAAATATTCATTATTTAATTTGTCTGCCTTAGGACATCCCAAAGAGAATCATACTGCATTTATTTCTATATGAAGGGCTTTTACGGTGTGCAGATTGTTGTGTTTTATAGAGTTACACTTATTGGTGCTTATAGTTATCATTTATTTATAGTTACAGTTGTGTGTGCCGCTGTGGGAATAGACTTTATTTATCCATTCTTCTATGATAGCCAGTCAGATTATTTAAGTTTTTCTTTTTGTTTTTGCTCTAATAACACCTTATTATGTGCATCTTGGTACACATGTGTATATCTGTATAAGCTGGTCATAGGGATTTTTCACGTTCAGTATCATTAGGTAATTCCAAGCTGCTTGCTAAAATGATTGTACTAATTTGCTCACTCACCCTTGGTGTGTAAAAGTCATTTACACACCCTTGGTGTGTAAAAGTGTTCTGTGTTCTTCTCAATATTTGACATTAGTAAACTCTAAAAATTTGCCATTCAGGTAAGTGTGAAATGTGTCTCATTGCGACTTTTAATTAAACCTTCTGATTGTTAATCAGGTTGAGCATCTTATCAAATGTGGGTCATTTAGGTTTTCTGTCCTTTTCAATGTCTGTTCATACCTTATTTCATTTTTCTTTGAATTTATCTTTTTCTTACTAACAGAATTTTTTTTCTGACCATGATACTACGCATTTATTGGTTATATAAAATACAGGCATCTTTCCTAATTTTTTTGTGGCTTGTCATTTTACTGTCCTTAAGGTTTCCTATGATTATCAGACACTCTTCAGTTTAATATAATGAGAGTTAATAGTTTTTTGTAATAAGCATTTTTGTGTCTTTTTAAGAAATTAATTCCTACACGGAGATCAGAAGGGTAGTCTTCTGTATTACATTTTTAAAGTTTTGCATTTTTACATTTCTTTTCTCTCTGAAATTATTTGAATTTGTAGTGTCAGATAGGAATTGGAGACTTACTTCTTTCTTTGATTAATTGGGTTACTGTTGAACAGTCTCTTTTCCTCAGTTACCTGCCGTTTTCTCTTTATCTTGTTGATTATGTTTCTTGTTCCCTCTTCTGTCTGCTGCTCTAGTTGTCTTTTCCTGTGCTCTTACCACACTGTCCTCACTGCTTTGATGTTCAGTGATGTTAGGCAAATCTCCCATCTTGTTCTTTTTTCAGAATTGTCTTTGCTAGTCTTGGTTCTCTGATGTAAGCTGCTGGGAAAAGTCTAAAGAACTTAGGATTTCTTTTGATAATTGCATTACATAGGTAGATTCCCCTGTTCAGAATCAGTATCTTTATAATCTTGAATCATTAAAAAATTATTATTTATTTTTATTATTTATTAGTAAATTAAAAAGTTTATTATTTATTTCTCAATTAAAAAGTTTGTATTGCTTTTGTTAAGTATACCAAGTCATTTTATACTTTTTCTAGTATAAAAAATTTTAAAAATACTGTTTCCATTTTTCCCTCCATTTAAATGTAGTGATTTATTTTGTATCTACTAATCTTATTAAATTTCCTTATTAGTGATGCAGCTTTAAAGTTTGTTTCTTGATTTTCTATAAACAATGACAGTTGTATTTCTTTTTGGTTCTATACTTGTTTAACTTTTTCATTGGTTGTAACTTCTAGCACATGTTTGCTAGTGTTGGTGTACATCTAATCTAAAAGTGTGTTTTTAAGTTTTACCATTAAATAAGATTTTTGTTGTAGGTTTTTGCTTTTGACTTCCCTTTTCCTCTGCCTTCCTACTTGTGAATTTCATTTTCTGTTCCAAGGAAAAGAAATGATCAGGAAAATAAATACTTTGATTTCCAGAGCCATTCACTGTGCTTACTACATTATAGCTATCAGTTTGTTGTATTCATGAATAAATACAGTAGGGCTGCTTAAATCTTATGGTTTTCACTGACAGTGGTGCAGCAATTCAGAAGATTTATTAAGTCTTACAGAAACACTACTCTTTGTATTACATTTCTGACGTTTTGGAGAAGAAATTAACATTAAATTTTAGGATTTGAAAACAGCTATTTTTGAGATACCATATTTTCTGTTTTTTTTTTTCATGTAAATTATGGATCCATATAAACTAAATTTTGGTAAACTTTAGGCTAATTCTTTTTCAAGGAAAACCTTTTTTTAGGGACTTTGTTTTTATTCATTCCCAGTATTATGAACATTATTGTAATCTAGATTAGATTTTTAAATTTAGTGTTGTAATAGTCCTGTGAGGTTTCTGATTAGAGCCTAATCAGTTAATAATACTAGTAATCAATAAATTGGTGAAGTCTCCTTTGTAATTCAGGTTAGACCCCTTTTGCTTTTCTGCCTTTCCCTGTACCTGGTATTTTTTTTTTTAACAGATGGGGAAATTAAGGCATAAAAGTAGAGATTCCCTGAGTTTGGTGTATTGCTTACTGCAGTAGACCACTTTGCTTCTGTGAGAATTGTAAACCACTATACTTTCCAGGTATGTGCTGAAATCTTCCTTGCTGGTAATCTTCAAGTCTTGTTAATAAAGAAAGTATTACTTAGTAATATTTTAGCTAATGTTACATGTTTACATATAGAACACCAACAGCTAACTAAAAGTTCTACTTCTGAATTTGTCTAGGAGAGAGAAGTACAGAAATGTTGCTTTTTAAAATCCATTTTACACTTATTTCATTCTTTCCCCCGTTCTTTTTTGCTCCCTTAATACCTCCTTGCCACTCAGTTTGACCAATGAGCACTAGTTCTAGATCAATGTCATTGTTTTCAACAGGGAGCAATTTGGCTCCCAAGATATCTTTGGCAATATTTGGGGACACTTTGGATTATCACAACCAGGGAGTATGTCTTGTTCTCATGTGAGTGGAGGTTAAGGATGCAGTTAACCATCATTCAGTGCACAGGGTCGTCTTCCACAATCAAGAAATATGTGCCCCAAAGTGTCAGTAGTCCTGAGGTTAAAAAAACTCCACTTTCAATAATGGTGTTTACCTTTGGATTTGAACTGGGAAGTGCCTATTTATTGAAATTAAGAATACAGTGCCTATTTATTGAAATTAAGAATGGTGTCTTAGATTGTGGGCTTTTGAGTTGTATAGACTTGGTGTTCAAGTCTTGTCTCAGCTTTTTAGTTTATGATATCTACATTCCAGTGTGGGATGGGGAGAGAAAAAAATAGATGTGATGATGCATTGTTAGGTGGGCATTATTTGATTCCTCCCTACCTACATGAACTTTGTATACCAGTCACTCAGTTTACATTGTCCTCTCAGACCATAGGCAGATACTCAAACCTTTTGATTGTCAGTTTTTTTATCTGTAAAATAAGGGTACAGATTTTAGGGATGATTCAATGAGAAAATGCAGATGAAACATATGCCCCATGACTAGAATCTAATAACTCTTTAATATTTAGAAATTGTTTTTATTCTTATTAATAAATTTTAGATGATAACCATTTGGGCTTACTATCAGAAGTGATATATAAAACTAGGCAAGAGATTCCATTAACCGATGAATGGATAAACAAAATTCCATACAGTGGAATATCATTTAACCATTAAAGTGATATGAAGCAGGTTAATGCACAGCACTGAGAAGCTAAAGCCACTTCAGTATGAGTTAGATTCCCACCCCAGAGGTGATCCACATGGCGGGCAGACCTCTCCTGACCCACCTGCTGCTCCCCTCAGCAGTGTACTTCGTCAGTCAGCCAGTTCTGCACCCCACTCTGTCTCTGAGTGGGGTGTCTCTGAACATCTGGCCTGTGCCCCAGTTCTGTATGCATCAACAAAAAATCTTAAAAAAAAAGTTATGAAGCACTGATAGATGCTACAGTGCGGATGAACCTTGAAACCATTGTGTTAAGTGAAAAAAGCCTGTCACAAAAGACCACACATCATGATTCCACTTATATAAAATATCCAGATTTGGCAACTGTATAGAGGAAATGAATAGATTAGTAATCGCTGAAGGAGTGGGGGAGTGAAGAAGGAGATGGTGTTTGAGAAGATTAGTTAGGTAATGACTCAAGGGGTTTCTTTTTGAGGTGATAAAAATATTGTCAGATTCACTGGTGATATTTGCATAAATAACATTAGGAACATAATAAAGACTGCTGATTTCCACAATTTAGACGTATAAATTGTCTGATGTGAATTATCTAACTGTTATATATCAATACACCTGATGTATGTATAGAAACCAGGCAAACTGAGGGCTTTTTTTCTGTAGCATTGAATACTTTATACCTTAGACTTTACTTTGCTCTCGAACTTCTGATTGCTGGGAAATCTGACTTAGGGAATGTGTATCAATGGAGCTAACCGTAATATTACTAATTCAGTGTGGTGATAGCCATCTATGTAGACACACATACACATACTTAAGATTTTTCAAAAAAATATATTTCTCATCTAACCTATATAACCTGTATGAGTTAATACCTAGGAGATAACAAACTAGTATGTTCCACTTTTTTACAGATGGGCATTTGTGTATTGAATATGCCATCAGATTTGTTTTATGAGTTATAAATGAATTCCATTGTTTTATTTTTATAAATGGGTAGCAAGTTAGAATTTTCTTGAATTCTAATTTTTATTATTGAACATTAGTTAGCTAACTAGAGTCAGTGATGTAGAGTTAGGAACTCCTTATGCAAGCATTTGATAGTTATGAGACTCTTAACAATAAACACAAATTAGTAATGGACGGTATACTTACAAGAATTCTATTTTGCCTCTTATTTTGAGTCTTACTGTCACAATACCCCACCCAAAACAGGCTTGAAGGAATGTATGACTCACATTACTGAAAAGTCTATGTGGAAAGAATGTCTTCAAATGTGGCAAGATACAGAATTTTAAATAACTTCATTACCCTGATTCTCTTCACCAGGCGTTGTGCTCGTTTCGTTTGCTGGATTCTTGCAGGCTCTTCCCCTTATATTTATAAAGTTGTTATGATAGCTTCAGTCTTCTCACCATTAAGATAAACAGATTCAGAGAACCTTCCTCTCTCAACAATAGAGTACCCCTGTTCTGATTCATTCTAGCCAAACTTAGGTCATGTATTTATTCTAGAACTTGATGTCAGTGACCAAGGGATTAGGTTATGTAGATTGGCTTTGGTCAGTAGTGCTTCCCTAAACCTGAGGGTGAGGTGAATATTATCTAAAACCATATGAGAGTTTGAGATAAGGTAGTTCACGAGAAGAATTTGGGGTGTTTTATGTTGTTGTTAATAACCATGCTGGGTGGCAAGATAGTTTATAATAGTGTCCACGGTAGTTTCCAGCTCTAATGTTAGAGCATTTATCCTTGATGGTAATAGCTAAAAATTTTGAGTACTTATTCTGTATACCAGTAGCATGAATGAAGAACTGGCCAAAAAGCAGTGCTATAACTTTTAGATCTGAATTGTTCTAAAAATTTTATTTCTGGCGTTTTCTACTTTTTTTGAGATTTGGTATGATACTTTTCCCTTCAGGATCCCGTTAATCCTTAAATACTACATATGAACGTCTTCAGTTCTTTGAACCTCGTGTGTATTTGTTTCTCTTTTGTCCTTCTAATATCTGTTGTTAGTATATAGCATCATTTTACTTTTTTAACACACACAATCTAAATTCTTAGATTTCCAATTTTGTGAACTGAGGTAGTATCCCAGTTAAATTCTTTTAACTTGAAAAAATACAGCTATAGGTAGCAGCTTGGCTGGGAGGACTGTTCTCTGCATACTCATTGTGACACACTGCTTAGTCAGACTGCTTGGAGAGAGCAGATAGTGTAAAGGTTGATTACTTTCTGTGTTTAAAATTGACCAATTTCTCTTCGCTCTTGGGAAACAAAAAGCAACTCATTTCTTTGCTGGATTATTTTTATGGCACATGGCATAAAATATGTGCTATATTTTGTATCCTATAATTATTGCTAAGGCCAGTTTCTAATGTTGGTTTGGATGTAGATAGTTTGGAAGAGAGTTTTAAATATTTTCAAGTAGTGATATAATTCTAAGATAGTTTAAAATGATCAGATTATAAAGGAGAATGATTGTTCTTTTTTTCTTTTTTGCTGTTTGCCCTGTTGAATATCTGAACCTCTTGGCTTTATAGAAAAAAAATAGTATAACTTGAAAAAAGTATAAACATGATGGTTACTCTCTTTCTCTCATTTTCTCTCCACAGTGATCCTGGTGGAGGGATTGAAATGTCTGAGTTCATTCGAGAGGCAACACCTCCAGTTGGGTGCAGTTCAAGAAATTCTTATGCTGGTCTAGATCCAAGTAACCAGGTAGGAATTTGTGTGATCTTATTTTGTGTATTTCCCTCCTCCTGATGGTCTCAGGTATTCTTTTACCTTTGTCAGTTGGTGTTTAGGTTCATTTTGCCCATTATTTATTATCTCTTACTAATGTTAAAGACCTTTTTGTGTATATGTACTAATGCTCTTTGCCTGGGCTTAGTGTTGATTAAGGCAGTTGTGGTTAATGCCTTGGAAAACTTAGTTTCTAAGTAGTACTGTTTTATTTACCTTCACATTACTCCCATTATGTTAGAGAAGTATAGACATTTGTGATTATCTTTAATTTAAACATTGTAAAAGAAAAAAACTTCCTCAAGATTTCAAGTTGTTAATGGTAGAGGTTGAATTAGACTATGAATCTGCTTTGCCAGTTTTAATGCCTTTCTGAAGCAAAGTTTAGCCCTCAAAGTCTGACCTCAGGATTTGCAGTCTATGGCTGTACTCTCATTCTGTCTGACTTTAGTTAGGCCATTGCTGCTGTATTTCTCGTTTTCATTTTAAGCATCTGCCACACAAATCAAAGTCAGTTATTCTAGCTTGTCTTCTCCACAAATTACTTCATTTGCTTGAGCAAAATTCTCTTATGTTTAAGATAGAAAACTTAATGAGAAGCTTTAAAGTGCTTTTTCTAGTATAACTTAGGATAACTGGATGTTAGTGCCAGCCCTTTCATTACATGGGGGTGACACAGCTGATTTTTATCAGGGTATAGGCAAAACCTCATTTCTGATATTCGTTCCATTCTTCCTGCTGTTACATGGCACCATTTGTGGACTGAAGTCGCTCTTCCTTCCATTCCTCCTTTATGTTCCAGACCTAGTCATCTGTTTTCTGACCTAACTCTTAACTCTTTGTTTTAACCACCCCTGTTTTTCACCATTCTCAAAGATACTATGGTGTTGCTTCTGATGCAACACTTACGTGGTATTTACTTAGCTCACTCTTTTTGGTATATAATGATACATGGCAATTTATAAAAGTCTACAAGACTAGATTTCCCTCTTTGCCCTACAATCTAATATACTGCCCTGTGTGTGACTTTCAACTAAGTGCTTCTTAATTGCCCTTATCTATATAAATAATAGGAACTTGAATGGAATCAGACCTAATTCTCATTTAACACATCAGTAAGTAACATGCCCGATTTTCCTAACTCTGCCCCCAGTATTCTACCATTCTTAGCCTAACATGAACAGTAATATGAAAACTCCATAGTCTATGAATCAAAATCCTGAATAGAATCTTGTCTCCTCATATATTTGGATGGAAGATTTGCCCCCAATGGAATTGTATTTCAAGTGGGTGAATTTTTGATAAATTTCAATTATGATGGCATATAGTATAGAATAAATAAGCTCTTAAATTTATCTTCTTTCTGTAACAAGTAAAGGGAATGGGAAGTGTCAGTGTTAGAATTCTTTTTTTTTTTTTTTTGAAGTGCATTGGTAAAAAGGACTGTGACATTTTAATTAAATTGATACTTTCTAAGTTTCAGTTTTTACAATGCCAGTTTGAAAAACACTGTTTCTATGCTTGGTCCTGTTTTTTGGTGGCCTTGTGCTTTTCTTGATCTATTTTTAGGGAATGAAGACTTAGTTCTTAAATATGCCTGCATGCTTTCTATTCTTTATTAACCACAGTCTTTCTTCTTATTGGAAAATGTCAGCAATGTCAGATTACCCCAGGGAGGAAGCCTATATTTTCCCAGTTCTCTTTTGAAGAGACGTTTTTCATTTCTTCAGTGAGACAGGTAAAGGGACACAGCAGTGGCCAGCTCCCTTTGGAAACTCTACTCTTAGCATTTGTCTATTGAAAGTTGCCCTACTTGTTTCAGAAAGGGAGTCCCATTCTGAATATTATCAAAGGGTATCTGTATATAAATTGCCCAGCATACCTAACTAGGTTTTCCTTAAAATATTAACTTTTAATTTACTCAAAAGTTTTTTTTTTACAATGGCATTTTTTATATTTTTATATTTTATAATGGCAAATACTGGAGGTTGTTGTTGAACTTGGATTTGGTGTCTTAGTTTCATAGTTTTTGTAACAGGATATGTTCCACATCATTATTGCTGTACTTGCTGCCTGTATCATACTTGATGAAATTTCTGTACTAGTTGGTAGTAAGCTACTGGAAAACTGGAAAATGATAATCTGAGCTCTTGTTACCATTGTCTCCTTCCTGCTCTCCCTTTGTCCTTCTCCTCCCATCTTTTCATTTCCTCTCACTTCCCCCCACTTTTTTTTTTTTTTTTTACTTTTACCTCGCTCTCTTACTTTTTGTTACTTATTTTTCTTAAAATATTTTAGGATGTAGTATTCAAGGCATTTTCCTCGTCAGAGGAGGGTAGTGGGTCTTACCATCAAAGAGTTTGGACTCCTGTAGTAATGCAGTCTATGTAACCAGAGACTGCACACTGCCAACAAAATGAGGTAAAAGTAATACGTGACATAGGAATGGTACAGAAAAAGGACCGATGATTTCAGAGGAGAATATAATTATGTGCTAAGAATGAAAATCTTTTGCAGGGGAATGCTTTTTGGCCATTCCCTCACTCACACCTCATCTAGCTGTAGTGTCTTTTATGGCTAATTGAAAACAGAAATTAGGAAAAATCAGCTTCCTCAGGAATTCAGTGTAATAAACAGTTAAAAAAATATTGCAAAATCTTTTAACTGCCTACATCAAGGATATTAGTTATTTTAACCTATATGTGTAAGCTTATTTTCACTTCTTTTTCTGTAACAGAAAACTTTTATACAATATATTATATACATCTTAAGTATACTTGGTGGATTTTTGCATTCAGATCAAGAACGTCCCAGGTGTTCCTTAAAAGTCAATATTAACCAATATTTTGAGCAAATTTCTTGTATGTGCCCATTAAATCAGTGAAAGGAATCATTTGGTAAAATATAAAAGTATTACATGGCTGTTCTTTCATTGTAAGATACTAAAATTACTTGATTATTGTCTTGTATTCATTGAAATAAGTTATAGGCAGAGTCCCTAAGCTTTGTTAATTTAGTAACTGTCATGTTCTGCCACTTGGTTTCCTTAATGTGTTCATAGAATTTGTAATATATATTTATATGATTTTTATGGTAGTGAAATAAATGTGACCGTGAAATTTTAGAAGCATGTTATACCACCTTAAGTATAAGTACTAAAAGTTTACTTTCTGTTTATAGTTTGTGCTAACATTTTATTTTTTTGTAGATGACTTATTTTTTTATTTTCAAATATATTATTAAAGTCAAAGAAGTACTTTTTGACTGCTAGATTATTTAGCAGTAATATTTAAGCTGTTCTTTGTAGCATATATATATATGAGCATGCTTTATCTTTAAACTTTCCCCCTACGTGTGCTGATAAGTCTAAATTTATTTCAGATACATGCAACATCTGGTTTTGCTTTTGTTTGTGACATGAACATATCATGATGCAGTATAACAAATACAGTTGGATAGTGCAGCTTGTTTGGGATTGGAGGCATCCTCCATGGTGCTCTGTCAGTCTTGAGCATGCAATGAGATGCAGTGGTCCAGTGCATCTGTAATACATATGATCATGTGCCCTAGCAAACAGATTATGTGGATCTGATGTAACATTATCAAATACTTTTATTTACTTATTAATAAAAGTATTTGATAATGTGTTTTAATGTGATATGATAGTTTTGTTTGATAGTCGTCCTAGACTGCACTGATAATGATATTGCTAACATTTCAACTAGTTTTGTTCATTTTTTCAGATTGGATCTGGGTCCTCTCGTCTTGGGACAGCGGCAACTATTAAAGGTAGATGTGATCTAACTTGAAAGTTGCCCCAGAATTTCCTTTTTGTTTTTTGTTGTAATAAAGAGAACTGAGTATTACACACATATATATACACACACACACACGTACATAAATGTAATACAAAATCATTCTTGAAATTAAAAATACATGGAATAAAGTCATGCATCTAATATTAGAGCTCACTTGATTTCATTATGTTCCCTTCCTTCAACCAAACTTCGTACAAGTATTTGACTATTTGCATTACATTGCATGAATTTTAAGTTTTAATCTGTAAGATCCTTGCTTTGAAGGAAAATACTTTAAATGGTTTTGGAAGGTTTATAGAAAATTGGTAAATTAATATGAAACATTTAAATTGGCTACAAATAAGATAGTAAAAAGAACATTGTTGGGGCCCTCCCTGGTGGCGCAACAGATTAAAGCACAGCCCTATGAAGTAATGCATCCACTGCAGCACAAGTTCAATTCCCAGGCAGGGAGGTGACCCATATGACACAGCAGACCTCTCCTGACCTGCTTGCTGCTCCTCTCAGCAGTATATTTCAGTATGCCTGTTCTGCTCCCCACTCTGTCTCTGGTGAATGCTCTTACCCCCCACACCCTCTATATGCATAAATAAATAAATCTTAAAAAAAATTGTTTTTCTGAACTTGGATTATATATACCTTTATTCTGTAAATTTATTTCAGAAAAATTTGTATTTACCCTATAATTTTTAGCTTACTAATTTTCCATGGGGAGGGAATTTGTTGTTTCAGGTTGGTATTCTGTACGTTTCCATTTTTAACTGCTTTTTTTTTTTTTTTTTAAAAACTGACTTGTTCTCATACTCAGTTAATCTGTTGTGTAACAGTAAAAAATAGCAAAGAACGAATCACTCTTTCACAAGATATTCTTGTTATTTTTTTTTGAATGTCAGAATTTTTTTTTATTAAAAAGTTTATTTTTACATCATTTTGCACATTTTTAACTGCTTTTTAAAGTAATAGTGTGTAGTGCTGTAAGACTAGTTATGTGTTCTGATAACCCATGATCCTCTTATTATTTCAGTACATCATCCATTATTATAACCCTTGATTTAAAAAAACCCTTGCTCAAAAAAGAAATTGATAGATATCTCCTGTGTAATCTGATGTCCTTTCTTGCTATGCCATATTGTACAACTTTAACTTATTTTTTTTTTTTAAAAAGATTTATTTACTTATGCATACAGAACTGGAGTAGAGGCCAGAGGTGCAGGGGCAGTGAGAGGATTCCCCAGAGACAGAGTGGGAGCAGAACAGGCCAACTGATGAAGTACCCTGCTGAGGGAAGCAGCGGGCAGGTCAAGAGAGGTCTGCTGTGCCATGTGGGTCACCTGGGGAGAGGGGAAGGGGGGATCAAACTCATGCTGATGTGGCTTTAGTTTCTTAGTTCTGTGCTTTAACCCGCTGGGCCACCAGGGAGGGCCACAACTTTACTTTTAATATGTCTTCACTTGTTTCTTTTAACTTTATAGGAGATACAGACACTGCTAAGACTTCTGATGATATCAGTTTAAGTCTGGGCCAAAGCTCTAGTCTTTGTAAGGAAGGAAGTGAAGAGCAAGGTAAGAACATTATCTTTCACGAGGACACATCATATGTTGTGGTTTCAGGATGAGTTTGTGAATGTGAGGCTGCTCACATTTTGCAGAATTTTATAATAACTTAATACTGTCTTTTTGATAAATTTTATTTTTTTGTTCAATTGATTAATTTATCTGTTTACATTGTTGTTCATTTTAAGACGTTTGTTTCCTCATCCCGCAATCTGCCCATGCATCACCACCACAGTCTTCCATTTTCCTCCTTCCCCTTTCCCTGTAGGATATCTCTGGTTTATAATTGTCTTGTTTGTTTTTAAGAAATTTTAAAATGATGAGCTTTCCTAGGGTAAGAGTAATACAATGTTACAAGCATTTTTGCTTTTTGGAATTTAATTATACATGTTCTGTCAAGCAAATGGAGAGAAAAATTTTGTGAGCATATGCCCCAGAGTATGATACAGAGATAAGAACCGGCTGTTCCTTTGGTTTATCTGAGCATCTTGCCTAGCTTGTGATAACCTATGAATTGTTCTTTTCCATTCATTATGAATTCTAAATGCCATTTGCTTCAGAACTTGTCTAAATGCAGAAACAACAATATGTTTCAACAGTAATAGCTTGCTGTTGGACTTACTGAGAAAGTATGTCTGCCTTCAATATGGTATCTTTTTGTGGCAGATTATTAGTCGAAATTTTGGCTTTGAGTGTGCTTTTTTCCCCTTTCTACACTATTATAAATGAATTTTGGACTCTGTAGAGTGTTTAAGAACAGCGGCTTTTTTTTTTTTTTTTTGATATTTTATTTTCAAGAACAAATCGGTGGATATACCAACCCCATTTTCAAATGGAGATTACCCCAGCCTTATTTATTGTCATTATTGAGCCAGAAATGAATTTAGTTTCTCTATTTTCAGTCTGTTGTTTTTAATAGCTGTGGCTTTTATTAGTCAAGTTTTGCAGGCTAATAAATTTTCTGTATTTAACTGTGAAATTATGAGATTGTAAGTAGCTTATAACTTAAGACATTTTTCCATTAATTTAATATTTTACCAGGATATTTTTATAAACTTTGTTACTGGTATTTGGAATTTTAAGTTTATTACAATAATTTTATGCTTTTATTTTTTCGAACTACAGTATACCCCACTGTTATTTGTTTCTGTGAGCTACTTCACTCAACATAGCCCTGTCCCCTAAAAAATTCTTTTAAACATACTACATGGTATGCAAATGATTTTCTTATAAAATCTAAAGGTGAATTAATTGCTTTGAGAATTACAGTATTTCTAGAGTTTGTCATCATTATGGTGGTTAATGCTGCAGCATCTAGAGTCCCATACCTCTTTATTGTTATCTGGAAAATAACATACTCAAGCAAGAGTACTTTAGTCTGGCAGGTTGAAAATTATATACACCCGAACTAATACTTGCCAGATACATATCGATATAGATGGTATCTGACATTCACTGAGTTAATAATGTTGTCTTAAAGGTTAGGAAACCTATTCTGTAAACAAGCAGATGACTTCATAAGCCACATGTTCTCCTTTGCAGCTACTCAGCTCTTCAGGTAATCTTCACTACCAGCACTATTCTCACTTTATAGACGAGCATGTCCAGCTGAGAATGAATCTATAAGAAACTTAGTGTCACATAGCTAAAAGATAGCCTTTCTATAATTCAAGCCTAGTTCTCCCTATAATATTCAAACCTAGCTCTGAATCATGTTTTAAATCACAAGACCATACAACGTTCATATACAGCAATATGTTGTTTAATAACCTTTTGATCAGCTGTAAACCACATATAGGACAGTGGTCCTTATAGACTATACCTTTGTATTCTAGGTACATAGTAGGCTCTACTTTCTATATTTGTATAATTATACTCTGTGGTGTTAGCACAATGACCAAATCCCTTGACAACATACCCCTTAGTTAAGTAACTCATGACTAGTTTTCAACTTGCCTTCATCATGAAACATTTTCCCATACATTTGCCATTTAATAAATATTATTGAGTATTCATTAGGATCCTGGTACCATTCTGAGTACTGGAAATAAATCAGTGAGCTCACACAGCCAGTAGTTTCTATTCTCATTGATTTCTATGCTGTCAGTGTAAAATCATACAGTGTAAATCAAACACACACATATACATATATGTAGTAACAAAGACAAAGAAGGGAGAGTGGAGTGGTGGGGAAATTGTAAATTTAAATAGAGTGTTCAGGGAAAGCCTCAGTGAGAACAAAGATTAGGAGAAGGTGAAGAATCAAGTCTTTGGGATATTTTGGGTAGGGGAGTGGAGAAGAAGGCTTCCTCCATGAAAAAGTAATAGCACAGACAAAAGTCTTAAAGTCGGAACATGCCTGTCAGTTCTGAGAAGTGGTGTTGCTGGTAGAGAGTAAGTGAGGCTAAATTTTGCAGTTTAATAAAACATTTTTAAAAAAGATTTATTTGTATATACAGAACTGGGGTACAGGCCAGAGGTGCAGGGGCGGTGAGAGGATTCACCAGAGACAGATTGGGGAGCAGAACAGGCATCAGATGATCTTTGAAGTACACTGCTGAGGGGAGCAGCCGGTGGGTCAGGAGAGGTCTGCTGTGCCTTGTGGGTCACCTCCGGGGAAGGCAGGGATCAAACTCATGCAGAAAAGGCTTTAGCTTCTTAGTGCTGTGCTTTAACCTGCTGCTCCACCAAAGAGGGCCTCATAAAACATTTTGACTTTATTTCCCAAAGAGATGAAAACTGCTAACAGTTTTTGTTTTTAAGCTGAGACTAATCATTATCTGTTATATTTAAATCAAATCACTAGGTTTTGAATCTGTCAAGAGGGGCAAAGACTGAAGCAGGGAGCTCAGCAGATTACTGTAATATTCTGGACAGGGGTTAGAGTCATGAGAGGTAGTCTGACTGGGTGTTAGTAAGAAGACATGGTAATGCTAGTGAATTTGGATATATCATGTGAGAAATAGTAGTCTTCATAACTCAAGTTTCTGGGTTAAACGGCGAGGAGGAGGACTAAGAAGGAGCAGAGTTAGTTTAGGAGGAGCTTGGAGGAGGGTCAGATAGAGAATTCAGGTTTTGTTATAACAAACATGAGATTTTAATAGACCCAGAATCACTAGTAGCAATAATCAGTAAATAGGTATGTATGGGTTTCAGGTACGAGGTCTGGATTGCGGTTTTACATTAAGGAGTTTTCACTGTATAGTACCAAAAAAATTCAGTCATGTAAAAATGTTATGAAGTTTATAAACTCAGTAAATTTAAACAGGACAAGCCTGCGTACTTCTGTGCTATGGCTCCTGTTTCCAGATCCTTGTCCATCTTGGCTGTGGTTTGGCACCACCTAGTGGCAGTTGTTCATTTTGGCTTATATATCAGTTGGGGTTGTCATTCTCTGGCTGGTTTGCATTTATAGGACAGTGACCTTTACTTAGTTGATTAGAAGCTAGTTGATTAACTGGCACTCATAATCAACATGATTCAGAGAAAACTGAGTATGTAGGATGTGTCCTTTACTTCCTTCATTTCTGAGAAGGTATTACTTAGTTTTCCTTTTCTAGTTTTTGCTCTTACCTTTCCTACCCAACATCAAAACTTTAGCTCATCTCTACATGACTATGAAATATGGATTGAAAATGGTGGAATTAGTTACAAATATTTCTGAATTTTAATTATCATGGGACTGGAAAACTGGATGGTAACTGCAAGAGATAGAAAAATGGCTAGAAAAATGAAAAATTCCAAGGATTGAGGTGCAAACAACTCCTACTTACTAAGTACAGAAGACTAAGAACAACAGGTGAGGTAGAAGGAAAACCAAGAGTATTGTACCCCAGTGTTTCAAGGAAAATGGAGTGATCAGTTTTGTTAAATGTTCCTGAAGGGTCAGTTGATATTACTGGATTTAATGAGGTAGAGATTGTTGGTAACCTTGATCAACATCTTAATGAATGGGATTAGAAAATACATAAGAGACAGATAGAGGAGAATTAAAAATTGTGAGTATGGATTATTCTTGGTGAATTTGATGTAAAGGGGATGAGAGATGTAAGGAAAAATGATGATAATGGACACATTTGGATTTTGTAAGAAGATGTGAGAAATGAAAATTAGTATATTTTTATAATTATAATTAATGAAGATGATATTCTTAGTAAACAACTTAAGTTACTCATCCAATTTTAATAAGACACTGTTACGGTTTCTGTGATTAAATTTAACAACAACCTGAAATGAACAACATTTTTGCTAAAACCTTATATGCATACCTGATTTTATCATTTAGTGACAGTTTCTAGAAATATTGATTAATTACTGATTATGGGTAAATACACTTTCTGAAGACTTTTGGCCATATTATCAGATTGATTTACACAAAAACTGCCACTATGAGCAATATATGAGCATGCCTTTCGTAAATTCACTAGGAGCAGTCTTTGAAGAGGAGTTCAATAAGGTTCTTCCTGGTGCTGTTACACACTATCGCCTGAGTTCCATCTCAGTCGGGGAGCTGACCCCTACGGCACAGTAGACCTCTCTTCTCTCACCTACAGCTTCCCTCAGCAGTGCATTTCAGTCAGTCTGCCTGTCTGCTCCCCCACCCTGTCTTTGGTGAATCCTCTCACTGCCCCCACTTCCCACCCCCTGCACCTCTGATCTATATCCTAGTTCTTCTGTGCATAAATAAACCTTAAACAAATTAGATGAAAGGCCCTCCCTGGTGGCGCAGCGGGTTAAAGCACTGCACTGAGAAGCTTAAGCCACTTCCTCATGAGTTCGATTCCCGCCTGCCCTGGAGGTGACCACATGGCTTGGCAGACCTCTCCTGACCTGCCCGCTGCTCCCCTCAGTAGTGTACTTCGTCGATCTGCCTGTTCTGCTCCCCACTCTGTCTCTGGTGAAGCCTCTCGCCACCCCTGAGCCTCTGGCCTGTACCCCAGTTCTGTATGCATGAATAAATAAATCTTTAAAAAAAATTAGATAAAAAATAGTGTCTCTGTTGACTTGAACCTGCCTTTGACTATATTGTTGCTAGTAAGGGAACTATTTAGGGAAGAATATTAAAATGAAAATGTCCTAAAACTACCTGTAGTTCTTCCTGAAAAAACTGGGTTTTTTTTTGGTACGTTCACGTAGCAACATTGTGTGATGTATTAAAGTAATGTCTGTCTTTAAAAATGGAAGGATTTAATTTCTGCCCTATGTCTTAAAAGGGATTGATTTTGATCATTAGCATTTTTTTAAAAAAAAACATATTAGAATTAGTGATCTTCAATTAATTTAAAGTTTTTGTTTTGTGAAATTTACATCCTTGAACTGTGAATATTGTGCTATTCTACGTAACTCCTTATTAGGATATTTATTGAGAATTTTTAGAAGTAACATGATTTGATAATACAAAAAGCAAACACTGTGTTAACTTTAAAAATTTAGTCTTTAAAGATATAAAAACTCAAGTACAGCAGTAGCTTTTGACAAATGATAAAGACCATGGTTTTATTTATTTTGCAGACTTTTAAAAGATAAGGTAATCCCTAGTGAGTTATTTGTAGATCACAATTTATATGGTACATTCTAGAGACTATTTTAAGTTTTAAATTTAAATGTAGATTTGGATTTTTAAAAATAGTACATGTGAAGTAATTCATTCTTTTTTCTGCTAATAAGGAAAAATATGCTTTTATTTAAATCTTACTGGGAAGTCTGACTTACTATAGAGTCTACTATATTTTTTATGTAGTTGTGATAAATAAGGTAATGATTTTTCTTTTTATTGAACTAACAGCAGATTCAGCCATCCTTGTCAAAAGGTATATAAAAAAATCAGCTTTTGTGCAGTTCGGTTGTCAAGCTGTATTTCAAGATAAATTACAATGTAGGTAGGTAGGTGGATGGATTATGTATATTTATACCTACATTTATATACACAGTATATGTGGTAACTTAAGTCCCTAGTCACAGACCTAAATGTAGGATTGTCGGAATCACCTTACAGATAAAGGGAGGTGATATATTTTTTTTTTCCATGAGATGTTTTGTAATTTTTGAATCAGTAGTTAAAATGAGAAAATTAGCATCTTACCTCATAAATATGTTTTAATTTTTTTAACCATTATGGACAGCAGAATGTTTTATATGTTATTTGATAAGTCACCCTTTTATTTTTTCTGTTTGTGATAACTATGTTTTTGATAATTTAGTCATATTAGTTTTAAAACTTGTACAAGACACTGTATAAGCAAAGTACTAAGCAATATATGTCATTAACGCAATCCCTGGTACTGGTCACTGAGATTGATAGCACAATTTACAGATGAGGGATAGAAGATTCAGAAAGATTACCTAGCTTTACTCAGTTAGTGAATTTTAGACAATAATTCATAGAAATATCCAAGTCCATTGAAAATATAAGCCTTTGTTGTTTCTTATTTTATTATTGAAAGTCTGTAGAACCTTTGCTGAGGTCAGTGGATATTTGGAAGCTTAGATCTTTCCATCAGTTAGAATATGTTCTTGTGTAGCTGTGAAATAGAAACTAGCCTTTTAGAATAATTGGCCAACTATTATTCTTGAGAAATTGTTTTACTTGAGTTACTGTATGCTGTGAGTTCTCTCTGTTGTAAACAGTAGAAAGCAGATTGCCGATTTGTGGTAACATTTCCAAATATGTGTTTGAAACAGATCTGGCAACTGATCGGAGGCTCTTCCGTCTGGTCTCCAACGATTCCTTCATCTCCATTCAGCCTTCTTTATCCTCTTGTGGACAAGACGTACCAAAGGACTTCAGTGACAAAGTGAGCCTGCCAAGTCACAGCCACCACCACCACGTTGATCAGTCTCTGTCCAGTGCCTGTGACACAGAAGTAGCTTCTCTTGTCCCTTTACATTCACACTCATACAGGAAAGACCACCGGCCGCGGGGTGTCCCACGGACTTCTAGCTCTGCTGTGGCTTTTCCAGACACTTCACTCAATGACTTCCCTTTGTATCAACAAAGACGTGGGTTAGATCCAGTCAGTGAGTTAGAATCTTCTAAGCCTCATTCTGGATCCAAGGAATCCTTGGTGGAAAATTCTTGTTTATCTGGGGACTTTCAGCTTGTTGGTGAGTTGAAAAGCAGTCATCCTCAGCCGCCTACAAAAAGTGGGAAGAGCAGACCTTTGAAAGCTGACAAAAGTATGGACAGCTTGAGGAGCCTGAGCACAAGGAGTAGTGGGTCAACAGAGAGTTACTGCAGTGGAACAGACCGTGACACTAACAGTACTGTCAGCAGCTATAAAAGTGAACAGACCAGCTCTACTCACATAGAGAGCATCTTGTCAGAGCATGAGGAGTCTCCAAAAGCAGGAAAGAAAAGTGATAGGAAAAAGGAATGCTGTGCTGACCCAGAGGACAAGAGTAGCTGTACCAGTGACAGACGGACTAGTAGTGAAAAGACTGCCTTGGAAGTGAGTGTGAATAGTGGGGCTCAAGATGCCAAGGATTCTAATATTTCTGACGACATGCATAATCAGATAGGTCTTAGCACCTCTGCGTCTGAAGAAGCCAATAAAAACCCCCACGCCAATGAATTTAGTTCACAGGCAGACAGGCCACTAGGGAAGACTGTTGAAAAGGAAGAGGAGCAGAGTGATAAGTCGGCTGTTTCAGTGGACTCAAAAATTGGTAAAGATGGTGATGGGAAGCAAAAGGAAGGGGATGTGCGCCCTAAATCCTCAAGCTTGATCCACCGGACAACTTCTGCCCATAAGTCTGGGAGGAGACGGACAGGAAAAAAGCGGGCCAGCAGTTTTGACTCAAGCCGGCATAGAGATTATGTTTCATTTCGAAGTGTTTCTGGCACCAAGCCACATAGTGCTATATTCTGTCATGATGAGGATTCTAGTGACCAAAGTGACTTGAGCAGAGCATCCAGTGTGCAGTCTGCTCACCAATTCAGCAGTGATAGCTCATCTAGCACCACCTCTCACTCATGTCAGTCTCCTGAGGGCAGATACAGTACTCTGAAGACCAAACATGTCCCTAAAGAAAGGGGCACTGACTCTGAGAACACACACAAAGCTCATCTGGGTCCTGAAGGAACTGGTAAAAAGAGGACAACACGTCGGACTTCGAGCACAAATAGTGCCAAAACTCGGGCGCGCGTGTTGAGCTTGGACAGTGGCACAGTGGCGTGCTTGAATGACTCTAACAGGTTGATGGCACCTGAAAATATAAAACCCTTAACCACTTCAAAATCAGATCTTGAGGCCAAAGAGGGAGAGGTGCTAGATGAGCTATCTTTGTTGGGACGGGCTTCCCAATTAGAGACAGTCACTCGATCTAGGAATAGCTTGCCAACCCAGGTTGCATTTCCTGAAGGTGAAGAGCAAGATGCTGTCAGTGGAGGTAAGTGAATTACAGGGAGAGATTTTCCTAAGGCTCACAACAATTTTTGGTAATATTAATCAGTACTTATGAAAGTATCCTGAGTGTTAATATCTCCCTTTGCGTTTCATTAAAATAAACTTCCACAAAGAAGGAGATGATGTGTTAAAAAAGATTTTGGTATGAACACCAAGAAAGTATTTTTTTAGTTGTATGATTTGAATGTTTCAATTTATTCTTGTTGGTTTTCACTGTTTTAAGGTCAGTTGGCATTTACAAATGTTTTTACTAGGAATTACAAAAATTGTTCCTCTTCCTTTCTGGTACAACAATATCAACAAAAGAATGTAGGATTTTATTATGACACCACACTGTTTTCAGTTACTTCTTATGCAGTGTACTGTTAAACTTTCACAATTAGTTTACTCAAACTGTTTTATAAGATTTTTTCCAATTACTACTTTAACTCTATGTACTTTTGAAAACTCATGGCTCCTTTTTTTTTTTTGTCTATTTGTTTTTATTTTTTACTTAAGTTTCAAATATTATGAAAAAAAATCTAACTTCATTTTTTTAAAGTTTATTAAATGAAAGTGTGTAGACTACATTAACAGTATTCACTAGTGGATATACTATACCCCTAATGATAACAATGATAGTGTTTGGATTAAAATAGCTTTATTTCAGGTATATAGAAAATTGCAAGATTTGATAGGTGATTTTATGTTGCTAGATGGTGTTGGCCTTTGTTTATTTGAGACTTGCTTCTTGTTCTTTTCTCTTGCCTAGAGTAGTTTGTTTATTCTGTTCTTGTTATTATGGGGCCTGATTCTTGAATAGAAGTTGAAGAATGAAGTCTTCTGATAGCACCATAACTTTTTGTTTGTTTCCCCCTGGTTCCCTTAATTTAGACTTATATCTTCCATTTTCAAGTTTATGGTCTATGTAGTAAGTTATAGTCTTTTATTAAAATTTAAATGGCTTTCTGAATCAATTCTAATTTCACCCAGAAATTAAAAAAAAAAAAACCTTATTATGGTAAATATTCTCTTGTATCTTTAACAAAAGTTAAGTTTTAATGGGGGTGCAAAAAGAAATAACCTTTAGTACCTAAGGAAAAGAACAGTTTATAAAACCTAAACATTGAGAGCTGATTATACCCTAAATGACTTTAACTTGGCAACAATATAGTAATTCACTCTAATCTTTGTCGTGGGTATTATCTATTCTTTATAAAGGGCCTGAAATGCTTTTCGTGATTTCTCATTCAAGTCATATGAGATATATTCACAATATGTAAGAAACAACTGGATTTTAAAATGCAGCATGAGTTTTAAACTTGTCATTAACATAAACTTTAAGGGTGAACATGTTATGATAGAATATGATGTCCTAAATATTGTTGAAATGTAAATATTGAATATATAAGAATTAGAGTAAATTTTTGTCATTGTTTTTAAAATGTCATTTTCTTTTCACAGCGAATGCAAGGTATTCTGTTTTTAGGAAAAGCTATGTAGAAGGTCTTATTTGCTTCTCAGTACATACTTTTGATAAATTGCCAGAGTTCGGCTTTTGTTTTCTTTCTAAAGACAAATCATTGAAAGTTAATAAGAAATAATGAACGAAAAGTTCTGTGCACTTTGATGGGATAAATGTACTATCCATGGGCTGTTAAAATTTTTTTTTTTTTGTCAAAGGAAGGCCTTATAGCAACTATTTTTCCTTGAGTTGTATTGTGTTAGAGAGCAAATGTGAACTTCCTGAATGTGTGAGGAATTTATATTTAGTTTTTTTGAAGACTGGAGGTAGTGAGGGGATATATTTGGTTCTTATTTCAAAATTATGTATAACCTCAGATACTTGGTAAAGATGTTTTATGAACATTAATACATTAATTATTATACTTCTTTTTGGGCAATTTAAGAAAAATTTTCTAAGCTATCTGCTGTACATACTGCACTACTGAAATGTGTCAACAAAACCAGACATTGACTGACTATTCATATATCGGTATATAAACCAAAAATAGATGTTATCCTAATAAATTTGGAGGTGGCATTGAGTTTCCCAGTGATTTCTTTTTATTTTATTCTTAAGCTGAAGGAGATTGGTCTTGTGAAAGGACAGAATTTAGGAAATGTACTTTGTCCTGAAAGAGGGGGGGATCTAAGATAGTGACATGTAGTCGCACACTCTTGGTAGTTAGTACATGTGTACCCCTGTAGCTGTCACTCTTGCAAAGCCACTTAACCCTCTCTAAGACTCAGCTTCCTCTTTTGCAGTGGAGATAATATAATAGGGTGATTGTGAGGATTAAAGGAGTTAATAGATAGGAAAATACTTAGCCCAGTGCCTGGCATATAGTAAATGCTTTAATAGTTATGTTACTGTGTGCAGGCCATTTTGTTGTGCTACTCAAATGTATTCTGTCCTTAAAGTAGAAGACAATGATTAAACAGTGACATATTAGAGATATTCTAATTGTTCCATTGTGAAACTTGGTAATAGTAAAGATTAAAACACCTAGTTTCTTGTATGACACCAACAGAAAAAATTTATGTTAGCATTTAATCTAGTAATATGGGTTTAATCTTATTTGGGTAGTCAATCATGTAATGATTGTTAACATTGGCCTTTACATGGTTAGTTGGATTTCATCAATATTCTGTGAGTCTTAGGTAGGAAAAGAGTTACAGGTTCAAATAAAGCATTTTCTATTGTTGATTTCTTATTTTTGCATAAATTTTTCTTTAAAATTATTAAGCATATCTTTAATATGACTAATACTTTAGGACTAGTGTATGGATGGTTTTTATATGATAGAAGTGTCATGTTTTCTAAGCTGTAAAAAAATCATTTTCTGTTGGGTCACTTAAATTTACTAAATAATTCAACAGATTATAAAGAACAAGAAGAATGGAAATGTTTTATTCACTCTATTATCCCCTTTTTTGAATTTCTTAACAATTGTCTTTTTGAAAAAAAAATGTAATGTTTCAGTCACTATTCTGTAACCATGAAAATACTATCCTATTGTAATGTTTTGTGTTGGGAACCAAAGATAATCTTTGTTAAGATATTCTTTTACTCAAAGAGTAGCCACATCTAGGTAAACTTTTCTGAAGGTTTGCCCTGTAAAATGTAAGTTTAAGTTTCTATTTTAAACCTGCATATTATTGAACATTAGGAAGAGAAAACAAAGACCACCAAACACAAAGGAATATGTTGATTATTTTTTGTTCTTTGCTTTAGATTCTAATAAACCTAATTTTCTGATTTCCCAATCTACCTGGCAAGTTAGGAAAAGCAAATTAGTAGAAGGAGAGGGGTACTTGTAGAAGCTCAAGTAATGACAGCAGGACAAATATACTGCGAACCCTGAAGGGGAAGATGGAATAGCTATATTAAAAAAATGCAGCTATTAGTGCAGAGATCAAAAAGCAGGGGCAGGCACTCTGTCATTTTAATAGTATTCAAGGACATAAGATCATAACTTGCTGTATTATAATATAATACAGCAGTAAATATTTACCCAAAACCATGCTCATTAAGGAAAGATTGTATTTATAGAAGAAGTGTACACGTAAAACCACACAGCAAAAATGCTCTTTAAATGTAGACAGGTTAGGAGACATCAGTTACTTGAACAAATTGTCTTCTCTTGAAACACTGTCAAGAAGAAAACACATACTTTATTAATGAGACAAATCACGCGTGTGTATTGAATTCCTTCAACCATCTCATGTGGCCTTTGTGTGCCAGGAGCAGAATGTATTTTATCTTCTAGTAGCAGTAATATTTTGGATAAGGATTCAAATGGTTATGGTTACATTTTTTTAAATATGATATCTAATTACTAACCAAATACTTCGGCAAATCATTAAATCTGTGCCTGAATTTCCACAATTGTAAAATAGGAACAATAACCTTTTGGGCCTCCACTTAATATCAGTGTCTAATGAACTCAGTTGTGTAAAAGTGCTTTGCAGATTATAAATTTAGTTTGAAAACTAGATGATTCCTGTTAATCATTTGTTAGGAAGTTTTCTTTTGCAAATATATGTCATTTCAAAAATAGATTCTGCACTCATCATCCCTTATTGGTGAATTTCCTGAAAATATGTGCAAAATGGTTTTTGAGTACAGTTTTCTTAGAGAGACTCATAATATCCCTATAGCAAACAATGAAAAGGAATGGTAATCCTTAAACTCTCTTACAGGAACTGATAGTGTGAATTATCATCTCTGAGATTTCCTTGAGTTCTTGAAAGCCTTTTGTCTACCTAACTATATTTGGCTGTTTGGGATTGTGGAAAATATCAGCAAGGACAGACAAATTCTCTTTAACTCAGTCACAACAAATAATGTTATTCTTCTGTTGATTGTTGGTTTATTTGCCAAAATGCAGAGTAATCTTTTAAAAAGTTTTCACAGTTGGACATTGTTTTAATTCAGATGAATGCTTAGAAGTTGAAGTTATGCAGTAGATTCTCACTGTTCTTGTTTCAGTATTAGAACAAAACCTTTGCATGCTGATGTTACTGTTCTTGAATGACAAGGGAAGTAAGAAAGGAAATTTAGGCAAAACGGATTTGTGTCTAAAGACAAAAGACATTTCTTTAAATTTTTTTCATATAACTTTATTCTTAAGGAAAATACTTTTTACTTTGCAAGTTATTTGTGTACTTCAGAATGTTTGCATTTATCTTGCTTTTGTGCTCTGTGTATACTTACTTGTTTCAACTTTCATCTTCTTTCTTTAAACTTTAATTTTTCTGGTAGCATTTGTTTCTAATCTGTTTGAGGTGCCAAAATACTACATTTTATTTAATCATCTTCCGAATTTACTCCTTTTTTCCTACAATAAACACTCCGTTCTGAAAATATTTTTTCTTGAACAGTTTCTTCTCTCTACATTTTTATTAACTCATTTAACAGCAGTTGAACTATCAGAGGTCATTGTAGCCATGTAGCAACTAAAAGGTAACTTACTTGTAAATATTTTTCCTAAGCAATGA